ACCTCAGCCGCCGCCGCCCACCACGGCCCCGTGAAGTCCGGCGCCTCCCCGGCCAGCGCCTCCACCATCACCTGCACACTCGCAAACACAATAATTAGCGACACGAGGCGCGAAAGAAGGGGCAACTGCATGAGTGACATGTTCAAGAAAGCTAGCGACGATACAAAGTTTTCTTATTTTCCACAAGTGCAGTTAATCCCATTTATCCATATATTACGTTCAATATTTTTCGTTTCCATATAAGAATAATTTAAAATATGACAAATTGAAGAACACCTTACAAGTAATACATTTGATGACGTTTATTTCTGAAAAAGATCTATTTTAGTGGGCCTTGCATTGTGTTTCTTTGCAATAAATGCTTTCAAATGGAAAGTATTGAACATATTGCGGATGAAAGCTGGCAAAACGATGACGCTGAAGCAGCTAGTATAGTACAAGTGTGCGTACCGTGTAGGGCGACTCGGCGATGTGGCGCCCTCTGCTCAGGAGCGCCAGCTGGTGCCGGCCGACGGAGCGCGGGATGTAGCTGACGCGGACGCCGCCGGGGGCGGTGCGCGTCTCCACCGCGATGGCCCCGCCCCCGTCGTCTGCGCCGCCCGCGGAGAACCAGGGCTTGAGGCGGAAGGCGGCGCGGCGGCGGCGGCGCTGCGGGCTGCCCTCGCCCACGCCGCCGCCCCCGCGCACCAGCGCCTGCCCGAAGTCGCCCCCGGGGCCCTCCACCTGCGCCCACCACAGCCCCGCCTCGCCTCGCCTCGCCTCGCCCACGCGCGGCACGCACGGCGTTGCGCAAAGCATTGGTACGTACTTGTATATTTACGAATTTGATATTACATGTTATTGCCTTCCATATACACTGCGTAACCTACTTGAATCGGGAGGGAAATATGAAAACAGTTGAATGATACATGTTTTTATGGAGGGAATTATGAAAGACAACTATGGGAGGGAAATAAGAAAAGACAAACCGAGGCAAGTTAACTTGCAGTTAGTTCATATATAAGTAAATCGTAATCAATAATTTTAGGTAAAAATAAAATTGTGTATGTATCGCAGGCGTTAACTGGTTTTTAATGA